CAAAATTTCTTCCTCAGACTCCTCTTAAACTGATCTCTTAGTTTTGTTTATTCCATCTCAGTAACTGATGCACCTAAATTTAGCACGTTCTTCCTATTTTTTAAGCCCATCATTATGTATATACTTTAATTTATACAAATTTAATTATAGCATATTGAAATTAGTATTCCTTGAGGCAGGATCTTTTTCATTTTGTCCCTTGTAGCATTAGTATTAAGGGAAAAATGAGAATGGGAAAAAAGGAAAATATTTATTCCCAATCCTTTTCTTTTAAATTAATTAATTTATTCAATAAATCTTTATTGAATATATACTGTGTATCGGGTACTGTGCTAGTACCTGGGGATAAAGCATTATGGTCCAATTTAGTCAATTAAATAACTAATACAGTAAATCACTACATAAATACTTAAAACAATGTTAATTAATATGAACATAGTTTTCACTTCCTAGTTGCAGCTTTTTTTGTTTGTTTGTTTGTTTTTACATTGATTCAGTGTGGAATAGAAACCGTTTATAAGAGGGATTCCCACTATACCATAGTCTAGGAGGTCTGTGGGGATGAGTCAGGGAAGGTGATACATACCAAGCAAGAACAACTATAAAAAAGAACAGTATGTCAACATAGTTTCAGATGCTTCTGTGGAGGTTCCTTTCTCCTCTGCTGAGCCTATAGATTCTGAACCTTTAAGAATGTGTCATTGACTAAATCTTTAGCACCAACTCATACCTAGGTTTTGCTTGACTGAAAGGCATATTTGGAGGCATTGAGCATAGGATGGATGAAATTATATAAATTATTTCATATCTCTTTTTAATTCTCTGTTTCTTGCTTTAATCTTCAGATTTGTGTTTTCTTTTTTCTCTCATTTCCTTTGCTATTTCTGATCTACTTTGTGTTTCTGTTATAATGTATATTTTGTCTTTCTGCTTCTTTACTTTTCTTTACCCCCTTGAATCTTTAATGTTTTCTTTCTTTTCTTTTTGACTTTAATCCAAAACTAGGGGGAAAAAGTAAGAAGGATTGAAGTTCAAATGACTTATGTACACATATAAATAAACACATTTGCATTTGTATATTTCAGTGTTTGAGCTCATGATAACTTTTTAAAGACTCTTGTGTCATTTGTATTGCTTAACATGTTAAGTGTGGTACTGTGTAGAAAATGAGAGAGAATAAAAACACAACAAGTCACACTTTTCTGATTAGCTGGTCACTAGTTTTTTTTTTCTTTTCTTTTCTTTTTAAATTATTTGAGGTCATTATTTTACTTCTTACCATTGAACAAGGTGAATGACTATAGTTGCAGAAAGGAAAAAGGTAGTATTGACTGATTTAGGGATAAATCAAGAAATGCGACATTTCATGCATGGGTCTTTTCACTTGGAGTACAAGGATGTCAGTTAGAATTTGCATGGTATAGGAAATCAATTGAAACTTGAGCCCATAGACATTTACTTCAGCAAAATTCTTACTAATTATCATGACTATGTCAAGTTAGACTATGTGGGCATAATTTAAAATTTACAAAAGGTTGAGATTCTTTTGTCTAATTGTATACCTCATATTAATGAGATAATTTATAGTTTGTCAGCTATGTTTCGTATTACACCAACTATTTTTTAAGTCTTTATTTAAACCAGTGAAGCGTTTTATGTTGTACATGCTACTAGTGCACCTTAGTACCTTCCCCAAAGTCATTTTACATAGAAAATTGAAAGTCTTTTGTAGCTGTTTCAATCTCTTTTTCGAAAGGTAGATTGTCTAATTTTTGTGTTGTCTTTAGTGTTACAGTGATGTGTTTATTGTAGGCCTGAATTTAACTTTGTGAAAATCACTTCTGTTGCTTCTTTTCTTTTCCTTTTTTCTGACTTGGGGTCTCACTCCGATGCCCAGGTTGAAGTACAGTGGCAGAATCTTGGCTCACCCCAGCCTTTAACTCCTAGGCTGAAGCGAACCTCCTGCCTCAGGTTCCTGTGTCCTGTGTAACTGGGAGTATAGGTGTAAGCCACCACACTTGCACATTTGGCTAATTTTTTTATTATTTGTAGAGGCAAGGTCTCTATGTTGTCCAGGGTAGTCTTGAACTCCTGAGCTCAGGCAATTCTCCCACATTGACTTCCCAAAGGGATTACAGGCATGAGCTACCACACCCAGCCTACTTTTGTTGAATCTTGATCTTTAGCCAAATATCGAATGATCCATCTCAGAAAATTACGTCAACTATACCAAGTTGGCACTTACAGTGTATTAACTTCAAACATTTGGTCTTATTTTTCAATACTCTGTATCAGGGATTGGCAAAGTAAGAACCTTGCTGAAATCTAATCTGCCACTTGTTTTATAAATAAGGTTTTATTACAATACAACCACACTCATTCATTTATATATTGTCTATAGATGCTTTTGCACTATGAAAGCAGAGTTTAGTAACTATGGCAGAGAACATATGGCAAAGCTTAAAATATTTACTCTCTGGCACTTTACAGCAAAAGTTTGCTTATCCCTGTTCTATGTAATCTACTTGAGACTGAATTATGATGTAATCAATCTTTGATATCTGTGACAAATACTTACTGAAACTTTTAAAGAAATACAAGATAGAGTAATATAAGTATTAGCTTTTTCTCTTTACAGATTCATATTTTTATTGAAAGTACATACTTTCATGCAAATTTCCAAATTTCCAATTTACCATTAAAAAAATATTGATTGAAGTTATATTTTTCTTTTGGTGGCCATTTATCACTATACTTACGTCAATTATAAAGAGTAGTAATAAAGCAAGATTGAGATTCAAATGCTAAGTGATTGACTTGGCTCCATCATGCCTCTTGTGTCAGATGTAGCACAGTAGTCTCACCAAAATATAACTCACATTCATTTTTCAGCAAAATGACAAATCATTATATATTAAGTACTTTTAGGAGCTATCTCACAAATTATTTAAAGTCTGAATGCTAAATTTATATACCAGGGATCTGGTATAGCTCTTGATAAGAGCATTTAATTTTGATTTTTAAAAATACGTATATTATTGGCAAGAAGTTTTAATATTAAGACTAAATACAATTATCTTAAACCTTTCCTGTTGAAAGTTGTTAATTTAAAACATTTGAAATCTTTATTTGCCTCTTCTTAAAGTAAATCTTTGCATTGCAATGCCTGAAGACACTTTATGTGTTTTAGAAGAAATTCTATATACTTTGTTTGTTGTTGACTATTGAGAATATACAAATTGGATAACCTTTCTGTACTTTATTTTCTTCCTGGTCACATATAATTTTTGAAACTAAAAATTGAGAGTTATAATTTCAGTCTAAATATTTTGTTAGTGTTGCTGTACAGGTTCCCAGGAATCTACTAATCTAAATGCTTAATTATCAGTATCTGTTTACATTTTAAATTACCAAGTTTAATAAAGTAGTTGTGAAATTTATAAGCATTTAAATTGGATTTTATTGGGAGACTACCATGATTGGCTCTTAGTTTGATATTATCTAAAAAGTGATAATATAAGATAATTATTTCTCACCACATATAACTTTCATAATGATCATCTTTAGCCAACCAATAACTGATGGTTAAAAGCTATTGCTGTTCTTCAAATACTTTCACTATGACAATGAATAAATGTAAGAATTTCATCATATTGTACTCTTCTGCTATGTCTTTCATGTGAGTGAAAAAGAAGTGGTTATCTTCACAATTCTTGTAGAACAAGCTTTTGTTAAGCAGTGTCTTTGAAATTTATTTATTTATTTTAGAGACAAGAAGATAAAAGATAAGGTAGTTGCTCTTCTGGAAATGTAAATCCAAGTGGAGGTTAGTAGTTTGAGATACACTGAATTATATACAACTTAAAATTACTATAGCTTCCTGCTAACTTATACTATTTAAGTATTATAGAAATAACATTTTAGTATATGCAATTTTTTAAAATTAAAATACTATGTTATAAAATTACTACTTTTCTATGAGTGTAATGATTTTATCCATTAATAGAGTTTGGAGCAATTTTATAGCATATTTATTCTATTATCTCTAGCTAGTATCCTTTTTTTATGGTAAATGTTAAATAATAGGAACACAGAATGAGGGGGAAACTTGAGAAAACAGGAACTTAGATATCTAAAGTTTTTAGTAGTTTTAAAATAATTGAGATCTTTTGTGGAATCTATATCTTTTTGCTAATACCCATTACTGATTTTCTTTTAATTTACCTTATTTAAGTGGTTGCCTAAATTATATTTTAGACATTTTCTAAGATATGTCATTTAGAATTTTTTCATTTAATTTTTTCAATTATTTCTGTGTTTGTTCAATTCCCCAACATCAACAAATGTTTCAGTAACCACTATTAACTGTTAATAGGAAAAAATACATTTGTGAGGGAACCATTTTACTTTCTTTAAGTTAAGTAATTCTGTATGTGTCAGGAAAAAGAGAATAACATTAGTCATCTAAAAACGTGGTCCAATTTTGGTCAGCCTTTCCATATGTTTGTTTAAACAAATAGGTAGCAGCAAGAGATTTTCAGTTTGAACTTAGTGTAATTATTTGTCATTGCTTTTCAGGGAACATAGTTAAACTTTGTAATAAAAATACTTACCTTGTTTTACTTATAATGTCTAAAAAAGAGATGAAATACAGTTTCTGATAAGAATTGAAAGTCCAGGAATAAATATAATGATGAGAATGAGTGCTTCTATCACTGGGGAACTTTCTTCATCTAAGCACATATGAACAATTGATCCTTGTAGTCATATATAGCAGTAAACATTAATAACTTAACAGTCTGAAGTCAGTGCAGAAGATATGGAGCATTATTGAAAGATGGAGTCGAGCAGGTGGCACTTTAATATGTTCAGTGTCATGGTTGACTCTAAAGACTAGTCGAATGAAATTACTTGAGGTTCTAAAGATTTAAAAAAGCGAACTCATTTTGCTGCACTAAGGAAATGCTACTGATCAGGCTTTCTGTGTCCCTTTTTTCTAGGCTAGAAAATATTAACCCTGAAGAAAATGACATGGTAAGCCATTCTCTGAGGAGATTTCTTGATGTCAGTCTTATATCTTAGAGGCTTAAGTTCAATTGAGTGGGTTTCAAGAACTAAGATGTGGGAAAAAGAAGAATTGACACACTAATAATGTACATCTTTGCTGCAATATGAAAATTCAATAACTTCACTCAGTCAATTTACAATTCACATGTGCCTATTAATTAAAACCCTATATTAAATAAAATATATTAAAACTTCATGTCTGACTAACATATAATGGTGTTGGTAGACATTACAGGAATTACTGAACAGAATAAACAATGCAGACACAGGAATAGCTATTCAGAAGAATGGAGTTATAATTGTGGATAGAATCTACAAGACCAAGGAATGTAAAAAGAGAATAACTGCAGAAGAAATGAGTGCAGTGATAGAAGAACGGGAGGCTGCTTTGTTTCAGGTAACTGCATGTATCTGTAAAAGCATATACTTACCATTTCCCCTCCTTTTTTTAAGTGACTTTTGCCCACATATTCTTCATTCATGTTACTTTTTAACACATCATTAAAACCACAATGATTAGCTATATTAAAATAGCTATGCATTTTGTTACACTACTGTTCGAAATATGCAACCTTATTTTTAATAAAATTTAATGCAGTCTCATTTCTTAATAAAATGAAACTTGTTTTAGAACATACTAACTTGTTATAGAAATTGAGTCATATTCTAAAAGTACTTTTGAGTGAGACTTAGTACTAATGTTGCAGATTTGTGAGGGCTAAGGGTATATCTTCATTACTGTTTTATTCCCAATGCTTATTCTTTTCTGAACATTATTTGCCCTGCCTGCTCTAACTGAAACGTGATTACCTTCCTGAGGCTACTGTTTCCACTGCAGTCCTCTCAAGTAGTGGCTGTATTTTCTGCCACACCCCATATACCATTGGGCTTAAAGGCTTATTTCTCATTAGTGTTTTTAGGTTAGTGTTTCTTTTTTCTTCCTAAACTCCTGCTTTGAAACTCATGGATCAGACTACACCACCCACTTCACATTATTGTTGTAGTCATGTGCACACTTCTATTTCATGTCTTTCTTTCACTAAGATTTTAGGATCTATTCCATTGCCCCTTTCTTCAGTCTACTCTGGTCATAATTCTTGGTGACTTAATTATCTATGTGGATGACCCTTTCAAAATCTCAGCCCCTCATTTCCTAGTATTTCTCTACTCCATTGTGTGCTGCATACTCCTTCTAACATCTGCTCTATGGTCATATCCTGTTCTTGGTCATTATCAGTCTCCTTGTCAAGCATCCCTCTTTGTGACCACCACCATCTTTCTAGCTTGCTTATTCTAGAACTCTGACTCCAGTCAGTTTTCAACTCTGCTGACATTTATTTCTACTGTTCTTACCAACTCTTTTCTATCTCTCAAGTCCCTCATGCCCTTACTCCTCTTCTTATCTAGGATCCTATGACCCACCATAACCATCACCAACTTACATATAATATAACCTCAGTTCTTTTGACCCTCTCTTCCTTTGCCATACTTACCTAGCAAAATAAGAGCCTTGTTTTAATCTTTCTATCCATTCTGTACCTTCATAACTTTATAAGACAGGAGAAATCACACAAATTTACTGACTGAGCGTACCTGAAATCCATGACTGCTATCTTCAAGTAGGTCCTTAGTGTTGTCTGGCAACCTTCTTGCCTTTTGTTTGTCTATGTGCTCTCCCCTCTGGAGGACTATTTTATCTCTTCTTCTTTCTTCTTAAATATGCAACCTCTCTCCCTTCAACCAAAAAGAGAACCTCTGCATGTCTTCAACCATTTCATCCATTAGCCTGCCTGCATTTGTGCCCACATTCTCTGCCTTTTTAACTCTACACTTTTCTAAAATGTTTCTATTTAAAGGCAATCTCTCTATTTCTATACTAGTTCACATCTTTTCTGTCCTTCTCAATATTGTCACTTAACCACGTGTTCCTTTTTTCTCCTACTTCATAACATGTTTCTTTTTAGATAATTTTTTTGCTATTCAAAATGCTTTACCATCGCCCACGGAGACTGGGTGGAAGTTTTGTTAAGTCTTGGTCTAGTTGTGGTTCACCCCTGTACTGTGAGTGAGGCCTTCCAACCTGAGAGCTGAGTATTCACAAGGGCCCTACTCCTGGAAGATTCTGTATTCTAGTGATTGCCTCCCCGGTATAGTGAGACTATGAAGTCTCCACTATTCTTTTCAGAGGTTTGGGTGCTTAGCTTTTTAACTTCAAACTCTGTGGAGGTTTGGAATTTGACAAATGATTAGGGGTGGAAACAAGTCTAAATTTTTCAATTTTGTCACTTCAGCCCTGTATAACTGCCAAAAGCTTGGGTGGTTTCTTTGTCCTCCAGCATGCCTAGTTAATGCCTGACTTTTCAACCCCTTCCCCATGCCTAGAATTCATAAAACTCTCAGGGGAAAAAAATAACCGTAGATCCTCAAGTCACTCCTCTCCAGCTAACTCCTTTTCAGACTCTTAACCACTCAAGTCATTAGTGCAGCGTGCAGCAAAAACCCTCTAATACCTTTGAGCAGATGATTTTTATACTATATCTGTCTTTTCTTGTGACTGGAGCATTGGTCCACCACATATTTTGTCTAGATGTGGAAGTCTGACATGTCCTTTCAGTCTTGAATTGGGAAAGGTCCTTAAACTTGTAAAATGAGCAACTGTTTTCACATTTTGCTCCCTACCAAATACATTCAGTCTTAGATCATTTGTTATGTGATTGAGGAGATAGCTAAAATTATTTGGATATGCTTGAAAACAATTACAGTATAAACTCAAATATTTGATTTTTTTCATCATTTATTTTCTTAAGTAAACTAAAAATAAGCACATGGAGCATAATAAACAAATTGTTTTTAAGTTGGAGTCTCACTCTGTCACCCAGGCCGGAGTGCAGTGGCATGATCACTGCTCAATGCAACCTCGACTTCCTAGGCTCAGGCAATCCTTCTGCCTCAGCCTTCTGAATAACTGGGACTACAGATGCCCACCACCATGCCCAGTTAATTTTTTTTATTTTTATTTTTTGTGATGGCAAGGTCTCACTATGTTGCCTAGGCTGGTTTCGAACTCCTGGGCTGCAGCAATCTTCCTGCTTTGGCTTCCCAGTGTGCTGGTATCATAGGCGTGTGCCACTGTAGCTGGCCTGTAATTAAATATTGACTGCTGTTCATTCCTTTTTCCACTCTTCCTCTTCCTACTGCCTTTCATGATATTAAGAGATAAATAAATAAGACACCAACATTTGGTGTTATTTGCCAATAATTTTTTTTTTTTTTTTTGGGTGTCTCACTCCGTCGCCCAGGCTGGAATACAGTGGCACACTCATGGCCACCCTCGCGTTGACTCGCTGGACTCCAGCGATACTTCTACCTCAGCCTTCCAAGTAGTTAGAACTACAGGCATGTGCTACCACACCTGGCTAATTTTTGATTTTTTTGTAGAGGTCTTGCCAAGTTGCCTGGGCTGGTCTCGAACCCAGGGGGTCAGGCAATCCACTTGCCTTGACCTACCAAAGTGCTGGGATTACAGGCTGAACCGCCGAGCCCGGCCTGCCAACAATTCTTTATGTATAGATATTATCTACTACTGCACTATATTTATGTTTTATGAGAAAGCAGTAGTTGTTCATTTAATTATTTTAATTTGCTTATTTGCAAGACCTCTGGCCCAAGCAGTAGTCATTTTAATTTTTATGTCATGGTCATTATATACTTAAACTTTTGAATCATTGCCTTATATTTCTGAGTGGAAACTTTGCTTTTTTGAAAAGTAGACTTTTTAAATTTTAGAGAATCAAAATGTTTCAATGATAGTGCAGTACAGGGAGTTTTCATATATTCCATGAACCAATCCAGTTATGTAATAAAGAAAACTCTGGGAAGACACCTAAGCAATGCATAGAAAATGCATTGATCTAGAAAAAAAAAAAAAGAAAGAAAGAAAGAAAAACAAAGACAAGGAAAATGCATTGGTCTGTTGCCTTTAAACGTATTCTTCCCTCTTACTGGAACATACTTACTCTCTACTTGTTGCTCCCTTGTCAGCCTTCTACTTCAAGGCTAACTTAAATATCATCTCGTCCATAATGATCCCCCACATAAAACAATATTGATAACTGTGTCAGTGTTGCCCTATATCTTACCTTGTATCCTGTTGCATGCTTTATCACATTGTGTTATAGTTGACTGACTTTTATGCCTGTCTTTCCTACCATCATGAACTTGCATGAAGATAGGAATTGTTTTTATTTATTTGTGTCTATCATAGTCCCTGGGACAGTATAGGTACTTAATATATGTCTGTGGAATTAATGAACTTAACTATTTTAGATCATTTCAAGATACATTAAACTAAAAGAAGTTAGTGATTATTTTTTATTCATCCACATTTTATTGAGTACCTTGTGTTGTATGCCTTGTGTTGGGAACTCAGTGTTAATACACATATAAAAGGTCCCCCCTCTTATGGAACTTGTATTTTCATATGGAGATATAGAAGGTGAGAAAAGAAATAAAGTACTTTGAGGTAGTGGTGTGATGAAACTAAAAAGGTAATAGAAAGTGACTTCAGTTGGTGGTGGGATGGTCACTTTAAATAGGTTGATCAAGGCAGGCCTCTTTGTTAAAGTGAATAGCTGCACTAAAACTTGAAAGAAGAGAAAGATCCAATCATACAGAGAGCTGTTGAAAGGGTATTCTATCAGAAGAGATCAGTAATGTTCTGAGAGAGTACACAAACTTAAGGCAATGATGCAAACGTGCCAAGCTTAAATGTGATTGAAGTGCAATAATAAAGGAATATAGTGGAAGTGATAAGGCAGAAGACATAGGCAGCAGACAAATCCCTGCGGTCTTGTAGGTCGTAGTTAGGATATTGTATCTAAATGTAGAAGTTAGTGAGAGAAAAATGCTGTTGAAATAGTTAGGTGAAAGATGAAACTAATGATGATTCAGAGGAGCAAGTATAGACCTGGGGAAGTGGATAGATTTAGAGACTTTTTGACAGTACAGTAAAAAAGTCCTTGAAGACAGCTTGGGTTTGAAAGTAAGGGAACAGAAAGACTTAAGACTGACTCTTATATTTGGGCTTGTCCACTGTGCAGATATTTGCTTATTTGTTATGACATGAAGTTTTTTGGGGTGAGATTAGCATATTTGGGGAGGGAAATTAAATTCTCCCTTGGATGCGGTATATTTGAGATGATTCTTAGAAATTCATTTGGAAGTACTGAACAGGCACTTAGCTGTTGCAATTATTAGTATGTAGATAAGTAAAGTTGTAGGGCTAGATGAAACCAGGGAAAGGTCATCTAGAAAGAAGAGAAGAGGGCCCAGGATTAACTTCTGTCATGTACCAGCATTTAGCAGTTAAGCAAAGGAGGAGGAATCTGGTGAGGAGAT